TGTGGTGTTGGGTCTATCGCCACCTGTTGGTAAGTGGTTGTATCTGCAAGCAATGTCTGTGCTTGCTTAACGTAGTCTGGTTTGTTCATAATGACGGTCATGCACCCTTTGTCTGCTAGTAGGATTGTGATATTCTTGTCTTTCCTGAGTTTGTCTTGTGCTTTTCTCTCTCTGCTGTGTTCAGGTTGTGCCCTTTGTTCCTTCTGTGTAGGATTATAGTTTGTTGGCTGGCTTGTTGTGTTTCATCCGTGAGTTTGTTGTCTTTTAATGTATTCTCCAGAGCGGCCATGAAATCTGTTCTGTTCCCATCTTTGTGGTTATAGTTCAGTCCGTGTAATAGGGCATCTCAGTTTGTGAGTTGCCTGTTAGATAGTTAGGTTTCTTATCCATATGTCCGATTTGTTGTTGTCCTTTGTTTTTGTGGTGGATCAGTTTGGTGAGTTTCTCCTGTAGTTCGTGTCTCCTCTTAGTTTTGGTTTTGTGTTAATGGTCTGTTCTAGGATTGTAGTCCATTGCTGGTCCATTGAGTTTAGATACTGTGATTTTTGGCGCACAATTTCTCATTCGTGCCTGTGGAGTCGATTATGGGCATCATTAATCATTGCTCGTAGCATTCTGCACTGTTCTGTTCAGCTATTTTATAGCTTGTGGGTTGCTGAGTGGAAGTTTGTATTTCATGCTGTGGGGCAGTACCTGGTTTCCGAGGCATTCGTGGAGGAAGTGAAATTGTCCACAGTTAGAGCTCAGTCGGTTGGTGAAGGTTTCCCATGTCTGGCCATTTTTAGTGTGTTACGTCTGTAGTTGTTTAAAGTATTGGCAAAGATCTGTAGCTCGGGTTGTGGATGAGCTGGCCGAGCTGGCTTGTTTTTGTTCAGACGTTTTGTCACCATGCTAGGTGACATCATCAGTGGATCTTCCGATGAAGTGATGTTATTCTACTCTGCTTGGAACTTATACTGGCAGTTCATTATGGTGAGTACTGTCATTTCCAGTTTTGATCTGTATGGGTTTATAAATGGGGTCCAATTCTATATGTTTGATTGAAGTATGGGTGGAGAACCATGCCTCTAGGAATTCCTGTGCGTGTCTGTGTTTGGCTTGGGCTACTATGGTTACTTCGTCCCTGTTAAACTGATGGCCTTCGTTGTCTGAATGTACAGATATTAAGGAGAGTTCATCATGCCGTTTTGCTGCCAGCTTAATGTTCGTGTATTCTGATGGCTAGCTTCCTTCCTGTCTGTGGGATATAATGTTTGTGGCAGCCGTTGCATGGTATTTTGTAAACCACGTTCATTCTGCATGTAACAAACATTACATTATCAAAGTTGTATCAGAGATAGTAGGAACTGCAGATGCTGGAGAATCTGAGATAACAAGGTGTAGAGCTGGATGAACACAGCAGGCCAAGCAGCATCAGAGGAGCAGGAAGGCTACATTAACAAACATGGACTCCTCCAGTATCTGAGGAGTCACAAATGACGCTGAACATCATGCAGTCATCAGTGAACATTTCCACTTCTGACCTTGTGATGGAGGGAACATCATTCACCACAACCATCAGAGTTTTCACTGATTTTCAAAACAATATCTAGTATCTGAAGTTCTGAAGAAGGGTCTCTGGACTTGGAACATTAACTTCGCTTTCTTTCCACAGATGCCAAATCTGAGTTTCTCCAGCAATTTCTATTTTTGGTTTCAGATCTCCAGCATCCACAGTTTTGTTTTATTACAATATCTAGTATCCTTTCGTCATTGGTTAACTTAGCTATACATCTTTCTCTCACATTGTTTAAGTTGTTGATCATAGCAATGACCGTTTGAGGGCCCAAGATATCTTTGAGGAGCATCATTAGTCAAATCTTCTAAATTACAGTCCCTACCACTATCCCATCGTGCCATCTCTGGAAGATTGATCGCGAGAGCAATAGAACAATAACTTGTGGTCAGTTCCACAAGTTTCAACTTGAAGTGCCTCCTAAGAGACTGTGCCACCTAATTAAATGGCTTCTGGAATATCATAATATCTACAGACGTTCCCCTATCTGCTGCTGTAGTCATCTCTTCAGAACACGGGAGGTCCCTGATTTACAAATGTTTGACTTACAAATGCTCGTGCTTCTGCAATCCCATGCAGGGATGTAATTTTAAATGTAGATGCCTAACTGCACCAGGGACCCAAGTTTGATTCCAGCCTCGGGTGACTGTCTGTGTGGAGTTTACACGTTCTCTCCATGTCTGCGCGGGTTTCCTCCATATGCTCTGTTTTCCTCCCGCAGTCCAAAGGCATGTGGGTTAGGTGGATTGGCCATGCTCAATTACCCATAGTGTTCAGGGATGTGCAGGATAGATGGAATAACCATGGGAAATGCACGGTTACGTGAATAGGGTAGGGGGTTGGGTCTGGACAGGATGCTGTTTGGAAGGTCAGTGTGGACTCGATGGGCTGAATGGCCTGACTCCACACTCGGTATTCTGTGTTCTATTGTGTGTTCTAACATTTTCCAAAGTTGGGAACAGCTGCTTTGTCGTGCATTGTACTCTAATTTGTGTACAAATTAACTTGCGAATGGACTTGAACAGAACCTATTTGCAACCCAGAGATTGCCTGTATTTAATCAGATTAGTCAGGTGTTGTTTACTTGCTACAAATTGACACTGAACCTCTGATCAGCTCAAAATTTTCAAGAAGTTCAGTCAGAATTCATTAATTACAGTCTCCTATAATTTCCCCATGGTGTTTAGGCTGTCACCTTTCTAAATCTAAAGGACTGAATCTCAAATCAAGAATTTTGATTCCCTCGCCTGTAACCTTCCAATGTTTTCATCCACCTTCTTGAAAACCCGTCTGGACCTGGGGAGTTATATTTGAATAATGCCATTAATTTTTCCACTGTTAACTTGCATTAATCTTGGAAGCAAATTATTTATTCAGCATATCCACCATTTCCTTCTATATCAGCAACATCTATTGAAGGCAGCCTTGCCCTGAATCTTGAACCTTTGTAGTTATTTCATATTTCTTGCTTTCAAACACTGCATTGCATTTGAACATAATTTCAGTCAGCATTAGGCTATTGACTAAATCCTTAACCATTACTAAATTAAATACCGTTTGTCCTCTTCACTGTTGCTGAAAACTGACTTGGCACACAAGAAATTCATTCTTTTTCTCACCTGGGCTAGTCTGTTTATCTCAATCAGTATGAAAGTTAAAATCTGCCATTAAAGGCATCTGCATGCAAACCTAATCACGCATTTACTTAATCCACCACTTCACAGTTACTACCAGAGCACCCTAAGCACAATGTGCACAAGAGTCTGAAGCCCTTTTCTGTCCAGAAGGTCTGTCTGCTTGCATCTTGTTGCATTTCCTCTTGCCATTGAAATAAGTTCATTCTTAATATTAAGGCTACTCCTCTGTAGTAACATTTCTCGGTTTGCCTGTGGACCTTATAATTGGTATATTCAGTTACCTGACAGCCATTCCTCTCATAGTTTGATATTTAATACTTGCTAAGTTGTTTGCATTGATTCAGTTTGGTCCTGCATATCTCATGGCCGAGATGTGGAGATGCCAGTGTTGGACTGGGGTGGACAAGGTCAAAAATCACACGATACCAGGTTATAGTCTATTAGGTTTATTTGAAAGCACAAGCTTTTTAAGCTCAGCTCCTTCCTCAGGCATAGTGTGAGAGAGAGGGTATAAGACACAGAATGTTATAAGCAGCAAGGTAACAACCCTAAAACTGGCTGCCTCTTGAATTTTTAATCAGTTAGAGAGGAGACAAATGATTAAAATCCAAAATGCAGATTCCTTTCAAGTCATTGTCCTGAGATAATTAAAGGTTTTGTCAATGTATACAAGAGGTGACATCTTGGGTCAGACAATGCATTTTAAGAGATAAGTGGAGCTGGAGGAGCACAGCAGGCCAGATGGCATCAGAGGAGCAGGAAAGTTGACATTTCGGGTTGGGATCCTTCATCAGAAATGCACACTGTTCCTCCAGCTCCACACTGTGTTATCTCTGAATCTAGAATCGGCGTTCTTACTATCTATGAATGCATTTTAAGGGTGAGGTCTTGCTTAGAATCTGCCTGTGCTTTTAAACTGGGGTCAGATTTTATTTTATTTTATTTTATTGAGCAAAACAGTGTGTGTGTGTGTGAGAGAGAGAGAGAGAGAGAAAGAGTTGGTGTCACCTGTAGTGCAGTATGATCCCAAGATCAGGATTGAGGCCGTCCTCATGGGTATGAAACTTAACTATCAGCTTCTGCTCGTCTCTCTGTCTCTCATGTACACCCGTGCCCATGACCCAAAAAATCTCACCCCAGTTTCAAACATGGACAGATTGTAAGCAAGACCTCACACCTAAAATGCATTATCTGACCCAAGATGCACCTCTTGTATACATTGATAAAACCTCTGATTACCTCAGGACAATGACTTGGGAGGAATCTGGATTTTGCATTTGAATCAGTCTCCTTCAAAGCCAATTAAGATTTAACAAGAGGCAGTCAGTTTTAGGGTTGTTACCTTGATGCTTATAAATTGTCTTGTACCGTCTTACACTATGCCTGAGGAAGGAGCTGAGCTCCAAACACTTGCATTTTCAAATAAACCTGTTGGACTATAACCTGGTATCATGTGATTTTTGATCTCATGGCTGAGTCACAGGGTTACGAGTTCAGTTCTGGGTGATTGAACTCCATTCTTAAGATATCGCTCTGTGTTTCTTTGGAATCTAGGGTTCTGAAGATGGTTTGAAGCAGAAAAGTGAAATGATGACTCGGCTGGAGGAGAAGACCAACCAAGTGACAGCTGCAATGAAACGGATGGAGCAAAGGTATAACAACCCAGTCAATTCCTGACCCTTCTCCCCAGCTCTTGCAATGAAACAATTCCACAGGTGCTGGTTCCTTTACCCTTTTGCTTATTCTTCATGCATCCCCTGTGTCAGGTACTGGAGCCTGCTATCACTTCTTCCCAAACCCAGCCAGCTCAATTTCTTTCAGTGCACACATACATTTTAGGAAAGGTCAAAAACTGACAGGAGCATGTTCCTTGCTTATTTTATTTTTCTGCATATCTTGAGGGATTGAAACCACCTGTCGTTTGTGCACCTGATGTCCAGATCAATGCAGTTCCAATCGAAGCCTGGGATTCCCTGGCTGGTCTGGCTTAGTACCATCACAGATGGAAAGTCCTCTTTTGCTGCAGATTGTGGTTTAAGGGTACAACTGCTTTGCATGAATTTTGAATGTAAGAGTAGTTCATCTGATTCCAGAATGAAAGCAAAGTACTGCAAATCCAAAATAAAAACAGAGTGGAAATGTGAAAATGCTGAGCACCCTCAGCATTTTAGTTTTAATCTGATTCCAACTACTCACTTTTTAAAATATATATTTGCGCCTTCCAGAATTGAATAACAAGTGTGAGCAGGTCAGATTTACAGATGCTCAGGTGATGGAATAACCTGGTGATTGTTACCATTTAGGCTCATATCCAGGGCACCAGCAGAGAGCAATTAGGATACAAGGAATCTCAGCCAAAGATTACGCAAGGTTGAGACCTAAAAACTTTGTATCAACAGTAGACAACAGAAAATGAAAAGTTTCATCCTTTTGTTAGATTGGGTCCCAACGAAGAGATTTCTCTGGTCTGGGAACCAGCAGGGTATTGCTGTTTATGAGCAGAGCTGACAGTACCTCATCCACATGTGTTGTGTGACCTTCTCCACTCCCACTTATTCCTATCATTACCCACTATATTGAGAAACATTACTGCCACTGTGTTTGGAAGTGTCACTGCTATTAACGTCTGTTTCTTTTCTCCCCTTTTATTTTCATTTTTATTTCCTACCTCTTTGCTTCTTCCTATTTGTCCCATTTGATGACCTTAAGTGACAAAGATTTATTAGATCAAACACGAACTGTTGCAATTTCTTGTCTGAAGTGTGTTGGTAGAGAGAATAATATTTAGGATTTCATTGCCAACTAATTCCTAACCAAATTAAAGGTGTAACTTTAGTGTGTTCAGTGGACATGATGTTAGAATACAGATTACAAAAGGGATGGAATGTTCTTCCAAACATAGTTTTAACTTGTCTCATCTGCCTTTATGTATGTATTGATTTCAAGAACTGCTCCTTCTTGCCCCCTCAGTCCCTCATTTAATGCCAAAGCCTATTTTTTTTGTTATCCCTTTGCACTCTTACTTCCCACACACCCCTTGCTCCCACTCTCCCCATTCCCTTCGAAGACTTAGCAGCCCCGCCCAACCAAACCACCACCCTGTGTGTCCCAAACCAACCTAACCACTGTCTTGCTCTGCTTGCACCCCCTCTGTCTTATGTCCCTCTGCTGTCTTGCTTGCCGTTGTGATCCCTTCTCACACTTGGCTTCACAGCTGTCCCCCTTTCTCTTCTCACCTTGTGGAGTCTGTCCTTCTCACAGCTTGCTTTCCTACTTCTTTTTCAATCATCAGCAGATCTTGCTACTTTAGTTTTTTTTAAACCAAGAAGTCATTAATAAAGGATATAAATTGGTAAGGATCAAAGCTGAAGCTTCAAGGCTTTACACTAGATACAGCCTACCAACTTGAAAATAACCTATTTATTTCTGACTCTATTGTCCTTAATCCCCTGTAATGGCAATTTCCACTTGTAAGGCCTCCAAGGCCATTCACAGGAGCATTATAAAGGCAAATTAGACAATGACCAATAAACTGAGATGGTGGGCTGGTGACTGTGAGCTTGGTCAAGGTGGTGTTTTGAGGCACCTTTTAAAGGTGCAGGAAGGTAATTCCTAATTCTGGGTCCAGGGTACTGAGGCCATGGATAGAGTAGAGTAAGAATATGTTGACAGGTTGGGCATGTGGGCTGAAGGAGATTACTGATACATTGAGAGGGGCGAGACTACAGATTGACTTGAAAACAAGGCTGAGGTTTTTAATGCTAGATTGGGCCAGTGAGCCCAGGGGGACAGATTTGGTGTCAGTAATGGAAGCATAGATTTAGATTATCTCAAGTTTGTGAGGTAGAAAGTGAGTTACTGGGAGGGAGTGTATTGGAATGTGGAGGGGACAGAAGCATGGGTGAGGGTTCCAACGGGGGATTAACTGAGATGAAGTCTGGTGATACATACAGTGGAAATGCTCCATCTTGTTCAGATGTTAATGTTGTGAATAGTTTGGTGCAGCCTTAGTTTCCAGGGCAAGGGATGGTTTCAGTGGCTGCTGAATGGAGTTTGTCAGAGGGACTAAAGGCAATCGTTTTACCATCCTTGTATTTGTTTGGAGGAAATTTCTGCTTACCAATAGTAGATGTTGGATAATTGATTAAGAGTGGAGGAGTTGGGGCGGCATGGTGTCTCAGTGGTTAGCACTGCTGCCTCTCAGTGGTTAGCACTGCTGCCTCACAGTGCCATGGACCTGGGCTCAGTTCCAGCCTTGGGCAACTGTCTGTGTGGAGTTTGCACATTCTCCCTGTGTCTGTGTGGGTTTCTGCTGGGTGCTGTGGTTTCCTCCCACAGTCCAGACGTGCCAGTTAGGTGGATTGGCCATGCTACATTGCCCATACTATCCAGGGATGTGTAGGATTAGCCATGGGAAATGCAGGGTTACAGGGATTGGGTGGGGGTTGAGTCGGTGTGGACTTGTTGGGTCGAATGGCCTGTTTCCATGCTGTATGGATTCTATGAATCAAGTAGTCATGAGGTTGAGCTGGGTGTTTGTCAAGACTTTTTCTCTCAGGGTTTGAGAGTCTTAGGAACTCTCTTCCTCAGTGGTCTACTCCTGATTCGTACGCGTTGGCATACATGCGGGAAACTACTGTTGAACTTTGTCTCCCAGGGCAACATGCAGACAAGAAATGGGAAGGATCTAAGGGTCAGTCCTTGAATGTCAGAGCTAATAGTTTGAGGAGGAGAAGCTATTGCAAATGATATATCTGTGTTAAAATATTACTGCCAAGCCGGGGAACCTTTGTGTAGTAATCCTGGTGATGGATTTTCACAAGATATATTCAATACAATCGTGCTACATCCTTGTATCAGTTCTGCTCATTACATCTTTCACATTGCAAATAGACTAATTGAGCAGTATTTACCACCTTATAAACCACATTGAATTCAATCTACTTATGATATCTACATGGTTTGTTACCCCACAGTAATGAATTCCACCACTCCCCTGAACACGTGGAATTTGTTTTTTTCTCTCTGCCTCCTTTTCTGTTACATCTGCTACCTTTCAAACCTCTGGGAACCTTGAATGTTTTTGCCAATAGCTATCTCACATAGATTGTAAAGGTCCAGACTGAGGTCCAAGGGAATTCATCATGTTTTAAACCCATTGATCTTTGCAGTATTTCTTCCTCACCAATATTTAAACACATTAACTTCATTGTTCTCATTAAACACATGCTTACCCACAATTTCTAAATGTTCTTTGCGTGAAGACCCATTTTTAATGTTATTGCCACTTCACTGTTGTAGATTATAAATCCTTCTGTCTCAGAAGGGACCCACAGTTGCTTATGTTCATTTGTGTTTGTTTTATTATTTATAGGTGCTAGTTAACAATCTCTGTTTTTAAATTTCTTAACTTTATTCTCATTCTATATTAGACTACTTCTGTCTTTCTGGTCATCCTTTGCTGGCTGTAAAACACCTAATTTTCAAGCTCATTGCTTCATTTTCATGTTTTAAGCTTTCTCCTTTTATCAAATGATATTGAGCATTTATAATTGGCCATAAATGAATAATTTCAGCTGTGCAGTTTTTTCTTCAGGATCTATATTTCCAGCGCATCTTCTGCACAGATCTGTACTACTTGTGTGACTATGCATTTTGCTGTCTTTCTCTCTCATGCGTACTGTTTTTTTTCCCTCCATACTCATGTTTTTTTTTCTCTCTCTTTTTCACTTCTCTCTTTTGCTTTCAGTCTTTCTCTTCTCCATGTGTCTCTCTTTTCCCACTCCATTCCCCAGTTATCTTTGCTGTGCTTGGCAGAACACTCCTGCTCCCCAGTTCGATCTTTAAGCTCCATCCTCCTGCAGTTGTCTGGGAACCCTTGCTTCCAAAACCCCGGGACTGTCACCCCCCCCTCCATTCTTCATCCTCTTTAAACTGTCATTGTCTACTTTGCACCTTTAGTGTTTTCCCTTTCCCACCCCATCCCCCAGCTCAACATTAGTCCTGCTGTTTCTTGAGCTGGATTGCTGTTTCAGATCCTATTTTGGGTTGGCTTCTGTGATTGACTGCCCTTTTATAGTAGTGATGTTTGGTGAGGCACCTCTGGGACTGGTGCCTGTGAACCAGCCTACACCTTTCTGAGAAAAGGGAGAGTATTAGCCAGCATATTTGGGGAAATAAATGACTGAGACCACCAGGATTGAATAAAGTCTGAAAGGATCAGTGCTTGAGCTGAATTGTGACGTGATGTGGGGTAACATGGATTTGCTTCAGGATTTCTGCAATCTGCAGGTTGATAGGAAACTCAGTACTGAGACAAAGTGTTTTAGAGCTGTAGGCAATTTTGTATTATTAAAATCCCTTCATTGGGAGCTTGATTCTTCTGTGTATTGTGTAAGGTGCAGCTAGCCATAAGCGAGATCAGTATGCTGTCATTTCCTGGTTAATTTTCACATTACCTGTGATTGCAGTGCTATCATCTGACTTTCTGACCTTTGTTAGACCAGTAACATTATTGTGTTCAATGTGTTGGAAAACACTGGTTGTTCTTTCATTTAAGGAGTCATTAAAATTGTAAATCAGAAACCCTGTTGTCTGCATCTTGGTTGAGTTTGCTAAGCTGGGATCAATTCCCAACTGTTTAATTTGCTGATGCTTGTCTCCTGTCATTTGTTTGGTTTTTTTTTTGTTTTTTGCTGTATTTTCCATCCCTTGCCCTTTGTGAGCATCAGTTTTACCCAGAGTTGATTTAAATTGCACCAGATTGCAGCAAGCAGAGAAGGATCAGGATACAGCAGAGAAGGGGACTGACAAGTTCAAACGTGAACTGGAAGACAAAGTGGAGAACCTGGAAAGAGAGATGGAACAGAAGGAACGACAGCTGTAAGCACCTGGGCAGAAACTGGGATTGGTGAACAAAATGGAGCATCTTTTAGATAAACGTGTTAACAGTTACTGTCAGCAGCCTCTGCTGGACATTGATTATTAATATCGACAGTTGAGGATATGAAAAGGTGTGATGTTAATTCTAAATGGTGCAGTGTCTACATAAAGTACAACACTTGGGGAAAGTTGAGAGATTTTAGCTATCCTTTATTCACTCCCTTCTTTTGGCTACCCTCTTTCAGACAACCACACGCTTGCTCTCATGCTATCACCTCTACACATACACACTGGAAGAGTCAAAAATGATACTTTGAATTTGGATTGGAGTCTTAAATAATTAGAGTGTGAGGTCAAATTCCTAAAGTAGATTTGGAAATTAAATTGAGATATGCTAGTATGTTGGAAATTGTGAACTTTTCACAAATACTTCATTAATTGTAAAGGAATTTGGCTTCTATTGATTAAAAAATTCTATGGGGAGAAATGATCAACTATGGCTAATGAAAGAGTTTAAGAAAAAATACTTAAAGTAAGAGACTTTAGTATTGTCAAAAATAATAATCCTGAAGATAAGGAAAATTTTAGGAAGCAGCCCAAAAATTGAGGGTAGAAGAAAGAGGGATAGAGAGGAGAGGCAGTGTTCTGGGAACATGGGTTTGAATCCGACTGCAGCCGATGGTGAAATCTAAATTCAGTAAAAATCTGGAATTTAAAAAAAGCCAATCTAATACGCATTTAATTCACCATCCTTATCAGGTCTGGCTTTTGTGATCCCAAACACTCAAAAATGTGGATGAGTCTTAATTACTGTCTGAAATGGCTGTGACAGCCAATCAGTTCAAGGGCAATTAGAAATGGGCAACCAATGAATGAATAATTTTTAAAAAAAATTTGAATATGAAAGTAAACTAGCAAAAAAACCTGAAAATGTTATAATTCTACAAGTCTGTAAAAAGGAAGAATAGCGAAAGTGAACATTTGATTCCTTCCAGAATAAATCAAGAGAAAGAAGAATGTGGCACGAGGAAATGACAGATGTTTAACGAATAGGTTTGGTCTGCTTTTACAGTAGAAGGCACAAAGAATATCCCAAAATAGCAGGAAATTGAAAGTCCGTGAAATACTGGAACACGAGTAAACCACATATCCTTTTGAGCATTGTTTCCTCGATCAAAACGTCGATTGATCTTCAAACTGACTAAGCATGCCTGTTTTCCCCATGTCCGTCAGTCTAGTAAAAATTCATCAATCTCCATTTTCAAAATAAGCAATTTATCTAGCATCTGATGCCCATTGTGGCTCCCAAATCTTGCTGCCTTTTGCATTATAAAATTCTGATTTCACTGTTTGGCTCTAATCTTTAGATTAAAACCCCAGTCCTAACTCCAACTGTTTCTGCTAGTTGCAATCTATTTAGGAGTAATTAATGCCAGTTTTAAAAATATGCATTAGAGAGATTAATTTGATTAAAAGTTGACAAATCCTCAGGTCTGAAAGAACGAGACTGCAGACAGTAGTCCTTTAGCTGGTGCAGGTGTTTGGTTCAATGCGGAAATTGTGAATGTGCTGCACAGAAAACAAGCAGGGATTGGTTGCAGTACCTGGTGTGACAATCTAGTATAAATGACCATCAAAGCAGGGAACAGTGGGACAGCTGCCTTTGTGCATGAGAATATGTTTTAATTGGATGTCCATAAGAGTCTGTCTTGGGTTGACTGCCCTTGGGTCACTTTCATTAACTGACATCCTATCCCCTATGATCTGGAGAGCATGCTTGTAGCTTGTTAACTCATCAATAACCGTTTCGGACCATTGTGACAATTGGCCCTTTTGCAATATGTTTGACCCACTTGTTCTTGTCACATGCCAAATCTCTTTTGATCAGATGGAATGGAAAGCAATCTCAAGTCACCTGTGGGTCAACAAACATGATTGAACAGAACACTGTAGGGAACACCTGTATCTTATTGCTGCTGACACAGCAAAAAGTAACAAATGATGTAAAAGTCCCTGTTAGTAAGCTAAATCTAAGTTGGTAGTTACTAAATTGGTACTGTTCATTATTTTATCTGCCAAATGTGTTTGGATTCGAGCCTGGAACATGTTGGGTCCCTTTGCTACAGACTAGAGAATAAGTCCTTGGTTTGCGCTGGACTGCACACAAGGAAGACCAAAACTAACTTCAAACCTAGCTAACACCAAGATTTAATCCCCCTCTCCATAGTTATGACAGTATCATGCTGTTATCTGCACAGCTGAGCTGTCTCTCACACTGTAAATTCATTCAAATCTCATGAGATCAAATGCAATGGGAGCTGCAAACTAACTTTTCCATTGTCTCAAGTCTGCAGTGCCCACTTGAGAAGCCTTTTATCTCTACTCCAATAAATTGTCCCTGACACCATTTTAGACTGCTAGAGTATTTCTAGGAATTAACCTTTTCGCATACCAGATCCAGACCTTTTTTTGTATTAATCTAAGCTAAAATTCTCATAAAGACAAATAGGGTTGGTTTCATATGCCATCTGACTTACTTCTGGGTGCTTTCCGTTGTATACTGGTGGCTATGTTTGGTGTGTCTTGTATTTGAAGACTGAGTTGGTTGTGAATTAACAGGGTGCAACTGGAAACAGATCTGAAGATTGAGAAGGAGTGGAGACGGGCTCTACAGAATGATCTTCAGAGGGAGAGTGAAACCATCTCAGAACTGAGGGCACAAACGCTACAGCTCAGCACCCTGAAGAAGGTACTGGAAACACATGCAACACTCATTTCTGTTCATCGGGACAGCTAAGTTTGACAATTTTCTTTGTATCCCTATACATTCTGTCAGTGTGAGAAAATAAGAGATGATCCTGATCAATGAAAATCTTACCTACCCTTGAATGCTGACTGTTGAAGTGACTCTGTAAAATTTAATCCTCTGCTTGTGTTTGACAGCCAAGCTTGGTTAGTCTGTATCGGTGTATTGTGTGTTCTGTCTGACTTCTTTTTGTTATCTCATACCCACTCTGATTTTTTTTTTTCATTCACCTGTATTGTGAGTTGGCATTCTCCTTTTGCCTCTTGTATACTGTCTGTTATGCTAACTCTCGTTGTCTTCCTTCATACTCGCCATTAGGCCATAAGAAATGGGAACAGAAATAGGCCGTTTGGCCCCTCAAGCCTGCTCTGCCATTCAGTAGGGTCATGGCTAATCTGACATTTCTCACATCCACTTTCCTGTCCTTTCCCCATTATCCTTGATTCTGCTACTGCTAAAGAATTATGTATTTCAGCCTTTAAATTTAAACCAGGACTCTGCTCTGATAACTGTCTGTGACAAGGAGTCCCAAAGACATACTCTTCTCTGAGAGAAGAAATTCCTTCCCATTTCAGTCTTAAATTGGTGCCCCTTTTATTCTGAGACTATGCTGTATGGTCCTAGACTCTTCCCTGACAGGGAGCATCCTCTTGGCGTTTATCTTGTCAAGGTCCTTAAGAATTGTGTTTCAATGAGATCATTTCTCGCTCTTACATTCAAACTCCACTGAGTAGAATTTCAACCTGTTTAGCCTTTGCTCATTACAATCTCTCCACACCAGTGATCATCCTAGTGAACCTTCTGTGATCTGCCTCCAATGACATGATCTCTTTCCTTAAATAGAGGAACCAACCTGCTCTCAGTACTCCAGATGTGGTTTCACCAGTGCCTTGTACGCCTGCAGTAATACTTCCCTACTAATATACACTAACTGCTGTTAGCATTCTGTGCAACGTGCAAGTAACCTCCAAGTCCCTTGGTGTTACAGCTTTCTGCAGTTTCTCTCTGTTTAGGTAATACTCTGTTCTGTTCTCCTTTCCAAAATTAACAACTTAACATTTTCAGACATTATACTCCATTTGCCTATCAGTATGTCTCCGTAAACTGTTTGTATCGCTCTTGCAACTTGCCTTTCCATCTATTTTTATGTCATCTGGAAATCTGGATACAGTACATTTGTTTTCCTTCCTCCAAGTCATTAAAAATATTGTAAACAGCACTGATCCCTATTGAACCCCATTGGTTACTGGTTGCCAAACTGAAAAGGAACCCCTAATCATCCTTGCTGTTTCCTGACCATTAGACAAGTCTCGGACAGTCTTTCGCAGTCCATTTGCACAATATCTGACTTCCTGTCTCTCATTTGCTTTGGGTCACGTGTGTTAGAGAACACCAAATTAATCATTCCAGATATTGGGATACAAGCAATTTACAAATTACACACTGGACTGTCTGAAGTCTGGATAGTTACTGTTTGTAATGCCATTTCCAATTATTGCACTGAGTAGCCTGTAGTGGGGTGGGTTTGGTGGGCTGTAGAGGTTGCTATTCACGTGATCTGGCTGTGCCATTGGATGTTCAAGGGGATCCTACTCCTTGACCAGAGGAGCTGAGAGGGACCCCATGGTGACCAGGTCTCTGCAAGCAGTGGAGCCACTCTGTATCAAGAGGGACTAATAAACTGAAGGTCGGAGCCAGTTGATGTAATCGGAGCTCATTTATTTCACAGGAATTCCTTCGCTTGCAAGAAGAGAATGGACAACTGCAGACGATCTGTGAGGAGCAAGAGCAGGCTCTGCAGGAGCTGGGCTACAAACTCAGCGAGTAAACCATCCTGTTCATGTTGATTTACACTGGCGCGTTTGCATATGTCTCATCATTGCCTTCATCAAGTTGTTGCTCATCTCTGGGGTACAGTGAGGGTCTGGGGGTAGTGTATTACAGTCAACATTTGTGGGGTTTTAGGGGAGTTAGGTACCACATCTGATTCTTCATGCTAGAAGCTGTTACTCTTGTTCCCTTCATCGTGTAATTGAATGAGGAACAGGTGTGAAGGAATGACTACCTGTTCTAATGTTCTGTTTCCTACTATTTTGATGTTGGCTCTGCATCTATGATACTCTTGATTTCCTCCTCCCCTCCCCCCTCCCCCCAACCACTCAAATCCAGATCTGTCTCTCTTCTTCCCCACCACCCTGTCTTAGTCTGTCTCTTCCTTGATTTTTTTTTTTCCCCTTCCCCAAGCCTGTCTCCCTACAGTTTTCAATCTGTAGAATTTATTCATGTCCTGACTGTGCAACAGCAAATTTAACAGTGGGAGTTTTCTCCCTGAATCCTGTTAAGTTTGCACATGACACCAAAATTGGTGGTATGGTGGACAGTGAAGAGATTACGTAGAGATCTTGATCAGTGGGCTGAAGAATGGCAAATGGAGTTTAATTTGGATAAATGCATTTTGGTAAAACAAACAAGGGCAGGACTTACACAATTAAAAGTAGACCCTTGGGTAGTATTGTAGAACAGTGACCTAGGGGTTCAACTACATATTTCTTTGAAGTTTGCTTCACATATAGGGTGGTTAAAAAGGTGTTTAGCACTCTTGCATTTATTGCACAGACCTCCTGAGCATAGGAGTTAGTATGTTATGTTAAGGTTGTACAAGATGTTGGTGAGGCCTCTTCTGGAGTACTGTGTCCTATTCTGCTCACTCTGTTAGAGGAAGGATATTATTAAGTTGGAGAAGGTTCAGAAAAGGTTTGCCAGGGTGTTGCTGGGATTGGAGGGTTTGAGTTAAGGTGACGCTGGATAGGCTGGGACGTTTTTCCATTGGAGTGTAGGAGGTTTAGGGATGACCTTTTTATAAAATCATGAGTGGTATAGATAAGGTGAATGGCAGGTATCTTTTCCCTGGGGTGGGGAATTTCAAGACGAGGGAGCATATTTCTAAAATGAGAGAAGAAAGATTTAAAGATGACACGGACAATTTTTTTTTTAAAAACAGTGGTTAGTGTGTGGAATGAAATTCCAGAGAAAGTGGTAGAAATGGATACAGTTACGATGTTTAAAAGACATTTAGATAAGTATACGAATAGGAAATGTTTGGAGGTATATGGGACTAGTGTAGTTTGGGATTATGGTCAGTGTGGACTGGTTGGACCAAAGGGTTTACGCTGTATGGCCCTGTGACTCTAACAGATTGTCTGTCTGTGTTCCCTCTCAATATGAAGCTGCTTGGACTTGATTATATTTTGAAGTTTTGTGTTTTTTGTTTTGGAATATTTACAATTCTTATCCTATTAGAATACATTCTTTAATTTTATAGGTCAAAACTCAAAATCGAGACCATCAAAGAAGCTAACAAGGCATTGCAGGTAATTTTATTAAAGTGCTGCTACTGCTGTGTCTCTTGCCCTGGCAGTGCCTGTGGTCTGATGCTTTGTGAGGCAATAGGAATCCCAGAGCAGTGTTATTCTGCTGCAAGCACATCGTGAAAATACAAGCACGCACGCACACCAAATACTCTGCCCCCACCCCATTATGCTGGACATAGAGCCTCTCCATATCCCACTTGGAGCCCCCCATCTTGGTTGATGTACACCTGCACCCACCATCACCACACTACACTCTGTGAAATGTCTGCCTAACATCACTATTATACATAT